TCCTCACCAACATTTGTTGTTGCTAGTTGTTTGAAGATGTGCCATTCTCACTGGGGTGAGGTGGTATCTCATTGTGGTTTTAATTTGCATCTCGATTTGGGACATTTTTTAAGGTTTATTTATGCATATGAGATCTGGGGTGTAGGCCAGAGATGTGGTGTCTGTGTGTGAGGGTTCAGCAGAGAGGGGGAGCAGAACAGGCGGACCCAGCAAAAGAGACTGCTGAGAGGAGCAGCAGGTCTGCTGCTCCCTGGCCAGGGATCAAAACTTCTCCATGCAGTGGCTGGTGAAAGCTTGATAGTGCACTTTAACCCCTGTACCACCAGGGAGGCCCCCACATTTCAGATTCACCGGCAATTACCCCAACAAACCTCCTTTGTTCAGATCAGTGGTTCCCTATCTCCAGTCACTGACTTGAACTCTTGAATTATTTGACTTCTACACTTCAGTTTCAGTAACTTCAACAGGGAAACTACTTACAAATTGAGACAGTGCAGTTGAAACAAAGGCAATCAAAAATGTGGAATGAACCCTCATGCTTACTGGAGTTGAAAAGCCTAGGTTTAAGTGATGAAATCAAGTTGTTTCCTTTTTCTAAACAGATTTGAAAACAGCCCCATTTGTCAACATTGGTTCCCAGAAAACAAAATGTGGGATCAAGTTTTGGTAAATATTTATGCATATTAAGAACTGGGGTACAGGCTGGTGGCATGGGGGTGAGAAGATTCACCAGAGACAGAGTAGGGAGCAGAATGGGCAGATGGACTGAAACACACTGAGGGGAGCAGCGGGGAGACAGCAGAGGTGTGCTGCTCCCTGGGGGGTCCCTCCCTGGCCAGGGATTGAGCTAAGTGTCTGCCGACAGCTTCATAGTGGGATCGTTTTATTAAAGGTTAATGCCTGGGGTGGGTGTGTTCAGCTTTGCAGTTTTTTTTCCACCCTAAAACATCTGACTAATATTTAAGGGCCATCAAAGCAGCAGGCACTGCAGTGAATGGGAGACAAGGATCTGCTCTCAAGGAGCAACTGGGAAGACACCAGCCCCCCAAAGAAGGCCAACATGACTCCAGGGAACTGGGCTGTGACCCAGAAGTTTAAAAAAGGGCAGTTATCTTGCATCTATCTTTACCTGGAAAACATGGAGTTTGCTAAGAACCAGGGCACAGCACATGTCACCAACAGCCTAGGACAGCATTCATTGCTGTTTCAGCCTGCTTTTAGCTAACGGATAACCTGCGTCATGCTCCCCCTCCAAAACTACACGAAAAACTACCTGCTCAAGCCACAGGTGACTGCCAACGGATGCCCATCTCACTCCTTTTCGCTAGGCTGAAAATTAAATTGGATGACCTTTTAAAGCCAGTGCTCCAGAATCAAATGATTGCTTCTAAAATCTCTACTCACTACCTTTGAAAAGCTAAGATTTTCATCCTTCCCATGGGTAAGCTTAACTCACTTGAGACTTTCTTGAAGTCTGAGGACTGGCCAGTACATTCAACTTATGGGGCAGTTTCACCACATGCCTGTAGAAGTCCCCACATAAACACAGGGCTGAGTGATGCACCAGGCTCCATGGCAGCCACTGGCTTTTACAACTTCCCTTCTTCCTGCCTGCCGGGGCAGTCACAAAGGACCCACTCAAGGGAAGCATGACAGAACAGCTCACGTCTAAGCAGGTCAAGTCATTCCCACGGTGAAGACCAACTTCAATATAGGGAAAAAAAAACAGCCAATCTTTGTAGGGTGTAACCTTTTTCACCTAGTATCACCATCTTCAAATATGAGCTTTAAAAACAGCACCTGGGCAACCCCCCCCCCCATGGTGCAGCAGGTGAAAGCTCAGTACCAGCTGTAGCCACTTTGGTACAAACTCAGTCCCTAGCCAGGGACCCACATGGTGGGGTGGACAGGACCTCGTCCCACCTGCCCACTGCTCCCCTCAGCAGTGGACTTCACTGATCTGCCTGTTCTGCTCTCCTGCGTCTCTGGTTAATCTTCTCACCGCCCCTGCACCCCAGTTCTGCAGGCATAAATCTTAGAAAAAGATCTTCTGTCTCTGCTATTAACTCCAATTTCCCACTGTCAAACCTGAAAAATGGTACATGTATAGCAAGTATCATAAGTCACTGATCACAAAATTAAGGGAGACAAAGACCAGGGAGCAGAATTAATGCATTTTATTTAAAAACATCCATTCATAAAACTGAATGATATCAACTGCATGGCAGTGACAATGAAGCGCCCAGAGGCGGGGTGCAAGGCTGTCCTCGTTAGATGTTCCTGCGGAGACACAAAGGTCACTGTGAAGCACCTGCAAGCAGCCAGACTCGCACCACAGCCTTTCTTTCACAGGCATGCCAGCAGCTGTTGCTTCCAGCTGTCTGCAGCGACAACAGACCACCAGCGAGCACCCAGCTGCCCTTCTCACTTTCCAAAAGCCAAATACCGTATCACTTCACAGAACTTACCTTTAGACATCAACTTTTGACAGATGAGTTTCAGTTTAAGAGAGCAGATAAGCCTGTAGTAGCAGACTCCTCCCTAGAAAAGCAAAGGACCTTTAGAACCAGCTTTTCTGAGTTGAGTCCCATTTCCAGCTAACACCCCCGCCCCATCCCCACTAACGGTCCCCCACCCTCCCCCCACCCCCATCATTTCGGGGAAGATTCTACTGCATTACTTTGAGCCATTGTTTTAAGGAAATGGGTCAAAGGAAAATAGGAAATAGAAATTAAAGGGCAGAAGTATGTTATCACAGCACCAAGTGCTCACTTCCTTCAATTGGGAGCGACCAAGACTAGGGCATTAATTTAAAATAGTTCATCTCCAGAAAAACCAAGTTCAGCTTAACTGGACTAGTTTTTGGCTCAATAGGTTAAGGAAAATAACAGAACTGGACTTTAAATAGCTATATGGGTGGAAGTAAAATCTGTTCTTACCTACCAGCATAGCAATAAAACCTTTCCTCCTGGTTCTGACTGCTAGTCCTAAGAGTCAGGTGTGCCTTACTCTCGTCTGCCTCCTTCCTTGCGATGGTCACTGAAACTTCACTCCCGCCTAGCTTTCATGGAGGGTGCTGCTGGTGGCCTGTCCCTGGCTTATCTGTACTCCACATACCACAAGTGTCTACTCTCAGCTGCAGAGTGTCTGAGCTCGGAGCCATTCGCGCTAATGCTTGCTAGCAGTTCCTAGAAGCTGAACATCTCTCCTGGATCTTTAAAGGCATTGTCACGAATCCTGAGGTATCTGCAAACTCCCTCAATAGTTAAGGTTCCACCTGCCATTGCAAACTCAGCCAGTATCAAACCCATGGAAACTATC